GCGTGAGTGAGGACAAAACGTACTGAAAAGACATGTGGTGGTTTGTGAGGCCAGTCCATCAGATCTAGTAGCGTACCGACTCCCGAATTCCAGGGTAGGGCGTTACAGTATTCTTATAGATGAATGTTTTACGACCGGTGAGAATACCTCGTTATAATCTATGCCCTCAAGCTGGGCATACCCTTTGACAACCAATCTGGATTTGTACCGAATGTCCTCATCAGAAGATCCTTCTTTCTTTGCATATACCCACTTGCATCCAATTGTCTTTTTTACCATTTGGTAGTTTTGCAAGTTCTCAAGTGTCATTCTTATGAAGAGACTGCATCTCCTCCTCCATAGCTTCTCTCCACCTGATTGAGTCAGAGCTTGACTCTGCTTTCTTATATGTAGAAGGAACCAAATCATCAACGACCTCAGCTGATAAAGCATATGCAACCATCACGTCATCATATCTAGCTGGCTGACGAATGTTTCTTGGTCTATTAGCTACAATGGACTCCTAAACATAACCATGTTCCTGAGTCCCAACATCCACTGTATCCTATATCTGCCCATCTGTCAAATCATCTCCTCCCAGTATCACCTCTGTAGGAATCTCAATGGATACATTGCTATTTGGAGTCTGTGGAGTCATATCATCCTCCACCTGCTGTGTATCCTACTAGTCTGACCTTCCTCCACCCGCTGAGGGATTTGAGGCCTCATCATGTGAGCCTCATCAAAAGTGACGTCTCTGCTAATGATTATCTTCTTATCTTCTGGATCCCATAACTTGAAGCTTTTAACTCCTTTTCTAAACCTCATGAAGACTGTTTTTCTAGCTCTCGGATTTAATTTCTCATCATTCACATGATAGTAAGCTGGACACCCAAATATCCGAAGTAACTCATAATCACTAGCCACTGAATCAGACCATTTTTCCATAAGAGTCTTTTCATGTATCATACTGCACAACAACCTATTCACGAGATAGCTCACATAAACCAAAGCTTCGGCCCAAAGGATCTTGCTAATCCACTCAGTGAAATCATACATCGCACCTTCTCCAGCAATGTACGGTTTAATTTCTTGGCCACCCCGTTTTGTTACGGTGTCTCCCTAACTTTGAAATAGCGCCTTATGTCATGATCCCGGAAAAACTATAAAAATGGATCACTCTTGTATTCACCATTGTAGACGTAAAAAAATGCTCATAGATATCCAAACACGACTCAAGGATGAGAAGAGAACAGTGTGTATACAGCGACAAAATACACCAACAAGCAACCCATGATGACACGCCTTAGGCGCGGCAGCTCAGGGTGACGCGCCTTAGGCGCGACAGCCTAGGGTGACGCGCCTTTGGCGCGGCAGCTCATGGCGAGGCGCGGCAGTCTATGGTGGTGCGGCTATTACAAGGGGTGCTGCAGCGGTTACAAAGCAGTTATACAATGATTTTTAAAGTCCACGTGGCGGCATATCAGAAATAGAACGTGTGCTGACGTCGACAAGCAGTTAAACCTCAAAAAAAGTGGTTAAAGGTCGTGGGAGAACAGTTTCAAGCACGATGAAACGTGGTGGTAACCGCTCCTTTGGCCGCGGCAGTCCATACTGCCGCGCCAGTAGCCGCGACAGCATGGACTGACGCGGCCAAAGAGATGTCAAGTGGTCAGTTATTTCATCCCTGTTTCCACTATTGTGCACTCCTACCCCTATAAATACCTCCCTAAACACGAAACAAGGGAGAGAGACTTGAGCTTTTATGAATTTAAGCAAGAGAAAGAGTCTTCCTTCTTCACAAACATCCTCAAGAAGCTTTTGGCGAATCCTAGAGATCTAAGCTCTGACTTGATCTTTAGAAGAGTGAACATCTTACATTGATAAGATATTCACTTCAAATTCTTACTTCGATAAACGAAGAAAGAATCCCCAAAACCTTCACGATTCAACTAGAATCTGTGAATCGGTGGTCCACGGGCTAACGCACCCCCCCTTCACGATTCAACTAGAATCTGTGAATCGGTGGTCCACGGGCTAACGCACCCCCGGCACAGGCAAAGTCCCACAAAACAAGAATCGATAAACGATTTTTGTGTTATTTTCTCAAGAGTTGTAATTTTCATTTTTGTTGTGTAAAAGAAGTCTTATAAAAAGACTATCTCTTTCGAATTTGTTGTAATCGATCGAAGATATAATGAATTCCATAAAAAAATCAACTTTTGACGAAAACAACCATCATTATCAGAACGGAGTACTTTCATCTTTCTACCTGTTTGTACCTCCACTTTCTTTTGCCATTCCATAAATACACCCATGACCTCATGTTTATGCTTCATGGTATATACTCAATTCCTCCTGGAATAATCATTAATAAAAGTAATAAAATAATTGGCTCCACCAAGTGATGTGTGCTTGGAAGGACTCCAAACATCTATGTGAACGAAATCCAATATACCTTGTGTGTTTTGAATTACGGTGCCGAATTTTACTTTTGTCTTCTTCCCAAGTATGCAATGTTCACATAACTCCATTTTGTAGGTCTTTACACCCTTCAATAGCCCATGTTTCGCTAATACTTGTAGGGACTTATCACCAGTGTGTCCCAATCTCATATGCCATAAGCTGGTAGTATCTTCCTCTGTGGTAATAGAAGCTGCCAGAACCCCTGTAACTATCTTGCCCTTCAAGTAGTATAAGTTATTTTCCTTGACACCTCTCATCACCACCATGGACCCCTTTATAACCTTCAGAGTTGCATTCTCTAAGATCACCCAATAACTTGTTGCTTTCAAAGTTCTAAGTGAAATGATATTCTTTGTCAACTGCAGAACGAATCTCACTCCCTTCAACTCCCTAGTCATCCCGTCACACATTCTGATTCGAATTACTCTAATACCACCAATGGGGCATACATGATCATTTCCCATTAATATGATATCCTCACTTTCTAACTCCTCAAAGCTGGAGAACCAATCCCTCTTAGGGCAAATATGATATGTATCACCCGAATCTAACATCCATTCCCTGGAGTCTGCATAATAAACTGACGATAATGCTGGGCATGAGTAGCCTGAAGAATCAGAATCAGAATTGTCGCCACTAACTTTAGCAACATTCACCTCTGAAGTCTGTCTGACTTTCCCCTTATTCTTCCCGGCTCTATCTCTCAAGTTCGGACATTTATTCTTCCAATGTCCATCTTCTTTGTAAAAAGCACATTGATTCCTACCAACACTTTTATGACCACCTCTATGCTTCGACTTTTAGCGATTAAACTGATGGCGATTTGGACTATGACCTCTCACTGCCAATGCATCTCTCGATGCCTTCTCGGAGGGTTCACTATCACTCTTCCTCAACTCATAATTCACCAATACTGAGCTTACCTCCTTATAGCTGACAGTGATTCTACCATTGATCATCGTAAGGACAAAGGTACCAAAATCATTCTCTGGTAATGAACATAGCAACAACATCGTCTTATCTTCATCCTCTACCATGATATCCACATTGGCCATATCCGATAGCAATTTTATGATGTTATTGACATGTTCTCTAATAAAAACCCCTTCTTCTTTTTGAATTGGTAAAACATTTTCTTCAAATGAAGCCGATTCTCAATGCTCTTCATTAAATACTTCTCATTGAGTGTTTCCCACAATCGCTTTGCCAATGTTTCATTCATCATATCATAAATCAAGTCCGGTGTCAAACATGATCAAATAACCCCACATGCTCTACTATTTATTTTCTTCCAAAGATTATCCTCCATGCCATCAGTTTTCTCTTGTAATTCAAGAGTATCCTCCAAATTTTAGACATCTAATGCATCCATCACTTGACACCTCCACAAAACAAAATTTATCTTGCCATCAAATTTTTAAACATCAAATTTTGTATTATTAATGCTCAATCATTGTATCACCTTCGACAGAGATGATCATAATGTACTTGCTTCAGTCATCTTGACAATCCAATATCTTCAAACGAGAATCCAAGCCCTAGCTTTCTTCTCCAAATCGAACCCAAGCCAAATCTGAAGCTCTGATACCACTTGTTGTACGTAATGGAACTAAAGGAACACACAACCGCAACCGAGATTAGAGAATAATAACAATAACCAAAACAAGTATCACAAATGTAAGACAACAAATTTTACATGGTTCGGCAAACTCGCCTACGTCCACGGGAGCGGCACAAATAATTTCTTATTAATCACAAGAAATTACAAACAAGAGAGAAAATCTCAAACTTGAGATCTCTCAATCAAATAGCATGTGATTTTAATCTAAAATCATTGCTCAAACTCTCTCTTAATTACTCCAAAACCCCCTTCTTTAATTTCACCAACCCCCTCCTCTTTAATTTTTGGGAATAGGACAAATGGGGCTCCAAATCGCGAAGAGAACAAAGGCCGCCGCCTCTGGGAAATTTCTCCGCTCTCTGCCCGTGCTTACTCCCAAGCTCGTGAATAGGATTTCCCTTTTATAGGGAAACCCTAGGTCTTTAGTCGAGCTCCACGCCAGCTAGCTCTAGCTGGCTCCAACCAAATCAGGCGAGGTCTAAAGCCTCAAACCCGTAGGCGAGCCCCACTCTCGACAGGCGAG